ATTTTAAATATTCAAAAAAAATTTAATATTGTTTAACTTGACACAATTTTATTTGATTTGTCTTAATGAAGTTAAAGACAAATCAAATTAAAACTTCACAGTAGATACTCCATTTTGAATAACTAACACCTCTACAGTCTTGTTCTTTTTATTCTTCCAATTTTGCCTTTCCTTCGAGAAAAAAACAATATTTCTCGAGAGGACCCTCCTTGTGGCAATAGTTGCATTTTTTTTTTTGTTGTTGTTGTTGATTTACCCTTATCATGTCGCCGAGATTTTGGATCTGTTGAATTAATTTTGTACCCATTTGGCAAAATGCACCTCAACATTAGGAGTGTCATGTTTTAATGCCATCAGCTCAAATTCTTTTGTCTTTATCGCTGATATAAATTCAACTTTTGATATTGACTTTCTTCCATATTTTAGCACCACCTTCACTTCTTTATATGAATCTAGAAAATAGTTTACTTCTCCTAAAATAATAATAAAAATAATTAACAATATGAAAACCTCATTTTTACCACCAATCTTCTCTTATAAGTTCTTGAATCAGAGGACATTTTCTTAAATTCATCAAGATTTTCACCGAGAGAAAAATTGAAGAACTTCTCCCATACATACGCCTTGTTTGAATGTCACTAGAGAGAAAAATTGAGTCTAATTTCTCCTAGGCTTCATATGAAGGTTTTAAGTCGACTGCTTGCCTCAGAACGTCACTGAGATTTAGAATGATTGTTCTATTAGCAATTTGATTCGTAGTTTATTTTTCTTTATTTGTTTTCAACTTAWGTGGAAGACTGGGTTAAAAAATGACCTTTGCGGTCTTTTGTTGTCCAATAACCGCTAACATCTCTGCTTTCTAGAGTTCAGAGTCTCCTTTTCCATCGAATTTTTYGATCTCAAATCTTGCATAAACCATTATTCGAATCTGACTTCYTGTAGGTGAATCGATTTCCTAACCATGTCTCTAATACAAATTTCTTAAGGATCTTTAAGAGATAATCAACTACTGACAAAGCTACAAAAAAGAAGCTAGTGAGGCAACAAGAAGGAACAAAAATCATTACACACATGACTACGGTGACAGAGTTCTTTTCACTACTTTAGATGGTGAATTGCGAGGTTGTAAAAAATACTGCCCCCTCCTACAAACCCTTAAAGGGGTATTTATATTTTTTTCAATTGTTTTCCTTTCGCTGCTATTGTTAAAGAAGTTTACTCAATATTATTGTTGTTTCAATTAGGACAATACTATAATATATATATCGTTATTTAATATTATTAATACGATAAAGTTCTGAATTTGAGTGATTAATGGGTCTTTTTGTTTGTTTGTGATTCAAAATAACCCATCAGTCGAAAATAAAAATGATATCAAAGTTAAAACTACATGGTTAAATAATTTAATTATCGAAGAAGATAAATAATTCAGAAAATTATAACTACTTCAAAGTTATATTATTTCTTTACTAAATAAAAATAACCTTCAAAGACACAAAAAAAGGTTTGGGAGATGGGGGTAGAAATTACCATSTTGTGAAGGCACGCGATAAAAATAAAAAAGTCCATTTTTATTTATTGTTTTTTTTAATACATGAAAATATCTTACCTAAATTTTCTAAATTAATGGAATTGTTGGAAAAATAGTAGGTTACCTCCTCGATTTAATGTTCCTCAAATTGGTATAAATTTAAAGAGAGTTTTTGGTAAGAAAAAGCTTGCTAAATTTTGTGTAGAAGACTTGATTGAATTTCTTGTGTTTGGCATGTTTTGACAAAATCAAGGGGGAAAAGTATTTTTGTTGGCTTATTCTTTTTAAAAAATTTTGTTTTTGTTTTTGCCAAATAAATATCAAAGGAGGAGATTGAAGGGAAAAAAGTTGTGTTTAAATGGTTGGGAAAACACTTTGGTTGATCGTAAAACTGATCAAGCTTGGAATCTGAGAAGCTGGGATGAGGTGTGCCGAAGTTCGAAGTACCTGCAAAACAAGGTTAGCATTCTGACGAGCAAGTTAGTACTCACTCCGATCTATTGCTCAAAGAGAGAAGAGTTTTGTGTACCTTGCGTGGGAGGAGGAAGTCTCTATTTATAGACATGAACTCTGACAGGGCTTTTGGCAGCRTTCTAACGGCTCTCCGACATTTCGAAAAATACGGCATGTTGTCAGGGACATCCTCGTTATGTTCGCGCCTGCTGGTGTTCTTCGAGGTTGGCTCGTACCTAGAATAGGTCAGTCGACAGGCAAAATGTAGATCGGCTCGGCTCCCATAAGCCGACCTATTAGTACGTATATCGATCTGAAAGTGATCTTGGTTGAAGTTCTTTATTACTCCTTAGCACAAAGTGTCATTAGATGTTGACACGTGGTAGGCTATAAATGGTCATCGAAACACCTTATTAAAGGACTTATCTTTTAATTTCWTTATTATTTGAATAATATTTTAGAGATTACATGAATTTAAACTTATTTGAATTATTTATTAATGTCGYTTTCATATTGATTCATGATGCTGTTAAATATTTTTCAGGACTATTTTATACATTTTGAATGTTTAATATTTTTTAGCACGTTTGGTACCATTCTCGTTTCCTATTTCTTATTTCTCATTTTTTATCTATTGTTTCTCACTTTCGCATATTTAAGTTTATTTCTTTCTTTTTTATAACAAAAAAACAGAAACGTATTTGGTATCCATTTCTCGTTTCTTAAATAATAATAATAATAATTATTATTATTATTATTATTATTTTATTTCGTTTTTGAAGTTTTAAAATATTTTATTTTAATCAATTGCATAAAAAAAGACTCCTTTTCTTAATCTTCTAAGACCTTAACAATCATGTCCTATAAACAGGCTTGGTAGCTATAAGTTGCAACAAAAATAAAATCGACTTTGGTTTTGTSAAAGTTTTCTAAAAGTATAAAATCAACCGCCCAAGGAAAGTGGACCTAATAACATAAGTAATTGAGCCTAGTATATTGATATTTTGCGGCTTGAATAAGTACTTAGATCAGTGRATAAGATACTTATTACCTTTCTTGAAATTACAACTCGGGTTTCTGACTTCTACAATTGTTGAACTAATAGAAACACCTATCAAATAAGGTATTATTATAAGAGACTACACAACAGCCAATTAAACAGAAAAAAACTTTATCCCGAGCATTCATCTCAACCCTCTTCCTACCATAGTCTTTTTCCTAGCTCTACTAGTGTTTTCGTAGTTGATAAATTTAGTTTAGTACAACCACAAATAGTTCGATCAAGCTACTCAAACTAGTACAGGCGTTGTGTTGCRAATAATTACACAACTTGAGTTGAAGTTTCTCAAAATAGTTTATCATAGGAAGATTATCCTTCATGATGAGAGAACAAGAAAATTTTTACGGGGGAAAAATTCATATAAAGATGGGGTGACCTTTAAAAAAAAAAGGAAAAAGGAAAATGATAAGGAGTCGTGAAATATGATGTTGGACCAAAGTGATTCTTTTTTTAACCTGGTGCGACAAAAAAAAAATAGAGAATTTACAGTCGGTGTCCTTATTTGTCACCCAATTTTGAAAAATGGCCGAATGATCATCAATAATAAAAAATGTCCATTTTATTTTTTTTTAACTATTTTCCWGGTTTGATTCGACAATTTTACCCTTTCTATTTAGTTATCATTTTTAAAAATAAAACATCTTTTAACTCCTATTATCTCTCCTAGATTCTATCTCTCCTCGATGTAGATACAGAACTAACCCAATTTAAGGAGACGTGGCATCGAGGGAGGCAATCAGAGAGGAGACGATGCGAGCCAAGTTGAGGGTATGGTAAGGGAGATAGAAATTTGAGGGTATGGTAAGGGAGACTGAAATCATGCGAGAGAGAGACAAGATCTATTAAGCGATGCGACAAATTGACATAATCGAGCGAGGGACAATGGTAGGGCAATGTGGTGGGTGATAGAACAGGTTGCAAGGAGAGAGAGGCCAATATGTTGACTTTATACAAATTGCTCTTGGTTTGAGGTAGAGTGCTTTATATTTTTGTATTAATTTTTCACAAAAATACATCTTATTTTTTCACATGATTTTTCTCCTCTGTTCACGTTCATCGTATTTATTCCTCTATTCACCTTCATCGTATATGTTCCTCTGTTTTCACCTTCACCGTTATTATTCACCTGTTSACCTTCACCGTATTTGTTCATCTGTTCACCTTCATCGTATTTGTTGATCTGTTCACCTTTACCGTATTTGTTCATACCTTCACCATATTTGTTCATATGTTCACATTCACCGTATTTGTTCACATGTCCACATTCACAGTATTTGTCCCTCTGTTCACCTTCACAGTATTTGTTCCTCTGTAAACCTTCACMATATTTGTTCCTCTGTTCACCGTCACGTATTTGTTCCATTTTATRTTTTGAGTATAATTTTTAATAATTATTTTATTGTTTAAATTTTTTGTTTGACATTTTAATTTATTGAAATTTTTTTCTAGTATAATTCTCCAAAAAATTGATTGGCAAAATATTTGAATTATAAATATAGGTAAGATTCCTTTTAAGGAAAAATATAGGTACGATTATGCTTGAGAAAAGGAAAAGTAATATATTTATTTTAAAATAATTTTAGGGAGGGTAGTTTCGTACCTAAAAAAGTAGTAGATATCTTATTGTCTWTACGTTGGYCATTATTGAAAATTGAAAGTTGTTTGGCCATATTTTAAAATTRCCTATTTTAATTGGCTATATCTGTTGTTACACCAAAAAAGAATACGGTCTTTTTAATCTTATTTTAATGCATGATTCTTTGTTTTTTCTTTTCCAAAAAATGAAATTTGTTTCAATTATGGACAAGAACGAGTCCAATAAATATGCTACTGTACGTGTAAAATGTTTAAGCTGCAATAGCAAAGTAGAGATTTATCGAATGACGCCAAACTTTTTCCTCAAAAGAGTAATAAATGATAATCATTGTCGAATTAATTTTACAGATATAAAGTCAATTAAATTGTGTTGGTTGGAACAAGTTCGAACCATTGACTTTGGGTATCTTGGAGGCAATTTGGCTCTCCATTGGCACAAATACAAGAGTTGGTAACAATTTTGGAAGAATTGGAGCTTTCAATTTGTAAGCAAAGGTTTTTCCCGTCTGGAGTGAAGGTGGCCAAATGAAGCTTAGAGTTTGAAATAGCTCTCCAAGCACTCAGTTGACCCAAGCAGTCACTTGAGAGAGATAYTCCAAGACTTTCTCCATTCGCCTTTACGCATAAACCAGTAGTCGTCATCTTAATTGGAGTGCCATCACCACCATGGCTCCATCGACTTGAAGTASAGCAATTGCTCAAAAACATTTCTCTATTATCATTAGAGCTTAGGACACATTGACCACTTTGTGGATGATACATAACATACGAGGATGATGCGTTGGAATTTGGATCTGCTTGCCATTAAAAAAATATATATTTAGTTCAACGTATTGTAATTTACTCTTACCAACTATAGTTTAACTATTAAGCATTGTTTAGAAAAAAATTATTTTCATAGTAATTTACTTGTTAGGGATCCTTATCTATATATACACACACTCAAATTCATTAATATACAATTACCTTGCAACATGGCCTGCAATAGTTGAAACTTCTTTGCAAAGTTACGGTTTTTAATTTGAGTCCAATTAGAGTCAAGAACTCCAAAAGTTTCTKCAGGCTCTRCTTGACCTTCTCTATAATAGTAGCTACCTTGCCAAGCCCACAATGCCCAATCYAAGTCTTTTTGTGCCAGATGAGCTTTGAAGCAACTCATGAATCGATTTTCTGCATCGTTAACCTCCCTCTGATCGTAACCGTATTCGCTAACGAATAAAGGAAATGGGTTTGGCCCTTCCATCACAAACCCAGCATGGTCTATGRAGCCATTCATGATATTTGCACATATATTGTTCAGTGGTTGCCGTACAAATTTACTYTCAGAATCTCCACTAAAGGAATACAAGTGCACTTCSAAAACCAACTTGTTGTCTAAGGTCTTTATGGTCAAGGGCTTCTCCTTTAAGCAACGAAGATCGTTGTCATAATTTAGGCCYGAAACAATCACCAAAACTGCTGGGTTTATACTGTGGATTGTTGTTACTCCTTGAGTTACATAATTGTTCCAATCATTCGCATTTTCCATTGTTCCTCGTATCTCGTTCCGTAAGCTCATKGCTACAACCTAAATTGCACAAAAAATATTATTTTTGTTGATCCAAATATTATAATTTATAGTCTTCAAAATGCTTGGGTTTAGTTTCGAGAATTTAAGAAAATCTTTATGTTGCATACCGTTGATTTGTTGACAAACCGTTGGGCAACTAAGCGAAGACCTTGTAACCACTCTTGGGGGTCAAAATTACGATTTCCAAAGAAACCATTTCCGTCATCAAGAGAGCAACACCATCTCGGTTGGCTAATGTGGWTGTCAGCGATCACCATTAAACCACTTGCCCCAAGCATCTCAACAACTGCTTCATAGGCTTCAGCAATGGTCTTGTTCAACACAAATGGGTTATATTSAGCCAATCCAGATTTTGCTTGTTTTAAATCAAGCAGGTCAAAGTTCTCTTCAATCGTCCTATTTGCATAGCGAGTGAACATGTGGGTTGCATATGTGAGACGCACGCAATTGAACCTCAACTTGATTGCTTCATCTGCTAGTTCTTTSAATGGCCTATGGTTGAGGCCTTCTGCYAGCATGCTCTGTGTGTGAGAAGGCCAATTCACGCATACAAGCTTCACTCGTCGCCCCGTTTTCGAATCAATGATCCACCTTCCTCGTGTTGAAAGAGGAAGAGAAAAGGCTGAAAGAGATGAAGACGCACAAACTAGCACAAGAAATAAAAAAACTTGCAAAGTTGTTCCCATTTTTTTTTTTTATCTCTTTTGTATATCCTATTTTTCAATTGTGTTGGGAGAATGATATCTCAAACTTCATTATATATACACCATTCAAATTTTTTCAATGTTTGTTGTAACTTATAAAACATATTTTGTTTTTTTTATAAATTTAGAAAGTTGAATTAGTTAATAAATCGTGTTGTTCAAACAGTGAKATTTTGTTGAACAATAGATAAATGTTGCTAACAATCACACCAAGTCAAGAAACTTCCAACTTAGAAGGCCAATGTTCAATCCGTCTTTGATCTCAAAACAAAACAAAAAAAAAAATAGAAAAAAAAATAGTAGTTAATTAAGCTTTGGATTAGAAAAGCCTTTTGTTTCTTGAATAGGATATATCTATGGTAAGTTTTTGGGTTATGAACATCGGTGGAATAGGAGACAAACAATACATAGTACATACACTTCCAAAAAAACACATACACGCACCCATATTATTATTAATAATATAATAATAAATTACGTGTTATCCCTAAACTGGACTATATCATACCATTGTGTAGATAATTAGGGGTACTAGAATACCATTGTCGTTAACATGATGGTTTTTGCTTATTTATGTAAATTTTGAAATAGTATGTTACGAAAAAAAATGGGCACTTGCAAAAGTATCATARAAACTAATAACTATTTGCAAAATTAGAAACTACATCTCAAATTTTCATAATAGAATGATTCGAAGGTCGAGCCTGTGCATATTAAGGAAAAAGAAAAAAAACCTAAGATTACTACTTCCTTACTCTACTTGYTTCATACTCGTTTGCTGTCATCTTGAATTCTATCTTTGACATCGGAGTGCATTAAGTAAGACATCATGCGACCCATGCCAGATGTTTGTGTGGCGATGAATTTTAAGYTAGGATAGGAAGACAAATGTGGCACTCTGGTGGCACCAGCTAGAAATCGGCATCCATCTTCATGCTGACAACTAATAAAAATTGATAATTTTCTTTCAATTTTTATAAAAGAAAAGCAATGTTTCTGCCTCTCTTTATTACTTGTTAAAAATTTAATGGTGGTCAGCAGAAATGCAATGCTAATGGATAAGCAGCTAAGTATGTTTCCAGATTTATTTATATAGGTTCATTTAGTACGAGCTACCACATGTCTCCTCCATGCTACATAGTACAAATTATACTAAACTGATTGAACATTCTATGTTGTACTAACAAAAATATATATTGAAGATTATATGTTGTACTACAAAAATATATAGATGGAAGATGGAAGCTTTATGTATAAAAGAGAATAATCAACTATATTATATATATTACTAAGTTTAGTTTTGTATTATGTGTGAAGATTGTCGTAAGGGCGTTAATATTTAGTTAGTGTTATTTGTGTGTTAGTAGCTTAAGTAGTAGATTGTTTATAAATATGAAGCTTTGTAAATCAAGAATTCATTGCTGGTTAATGGAATGCTTTCAAAAATTTACCTATTAAGTGCTACCTGCCGTTGAATATTAAAATTCTGCTATTTTTCTCGTATCAAATATATTCAATTTGATTTCAATCCGGTTTGATTTTTCAAATTATATTGTACTATGGAACCTTAAGCTTTCTTTAACTCCCAATGCTTGTAAACTTTTCGGGTTCATTTATTTTCCTTTTTGGTAACGAATAAAAGGAGGAGTACTCTTCATTTAATTCCTCGAGAAACAGGTCTGATTTTGATGCTTTGGAAAGAAAAAAAATCTGATTAATTTTGATATGAATGATTAAACTTCCAATTTATTCCTTACAAAAAAGAGAAATAAATACAATTTAAAGGCTAGAAAATGAAATGAAAAATAAAAACTTGATGACCCAGACAACTCATTAGTTAAAAAAATAAAGGTAAACTTACTTTGCGTCGTAATCATTACTTTGCTGCAGTTTAATGATTCATCTAACAAACACTTCCTATTATTTATGGCGTAATTTAAGAAATGCAACCAAAATTCAGTTAGAATGCATTTCATCTTTTAATTCGTTACAAGTTCTTATCTCGCTAGCTAGATTGTAGCCTAATACATTGCTATAAATATAGATGCAATCCTTGTTTTGCATCCTCATCCAACTTTAGAGCATTCAATTTCTAAGAAAGGTGAAAATATGATGGGAAAGTCAAGAAACTTTAGAGCATTCAATTTCCAACATTGAGATTTTGTTGAACAATAGATAATTGTTGCTAACAATCTAACCAAGTCAAGAAACTTCCAACCTAGAATGCTAATATTCAATCCATTTTTCAACTCAAAACAAAAACAAAAATAGAAGTTATTAAGCTTTGGATTAGAAAAGCTTTCTGTTTCTTGAATACGATATATCTATGGTACGTTCTTGGGGAGTTGTTTTCTCACTTTTGCTGGGTCAATCTCACAAAATTTGACCAAATTATACCTTACCATTTGAAGAGGAAATGATTGTTCAATTTCTTCGATCACCGTCGACAAAAAAAAAAATCATTTCAATTTTTTCATTTACATTTTGCATATTTTTCATTCACAGTTTTCACATTTTCATTTTCAATGGAGTAATATTTATTTTTCTGTAGAATGTTTCCAATTTTTTCTATAATTTCGTTGAACATTGCTTTAATTTTTTTTCCGTACAAAGAATATGTTGAATAATTTATTTATTTAACAATTAAAATAATAAACATACCAAGTAAAACAACAATCACTATGATCACAATACAATTTATTGGTCAAAACTAACACATTAGATTAGAAATTCAAGTTAATGAATAAAAAAAATATAAACATAAAATCAAAAATCAAAAATAGTTAACATCAAACAAACAACAACCACCTCACATCAATTTTGTTTAGAAAACAGATACTCAATATGATGTACAAAATTAACATCAATTTAGAAAACATTAGTCAAAACTAACCACATCACCACATCAGTTTAGAAATTCATGTTAATTAATAAAAAAGTATAAATATAAAATACGAAATTTAAAAGTAGCTGAGATATGAAAACAACAATAATTAAGATGAATAAATCTTTTTTTTTTTTTTGTGATTTGAAGAATCGTTTCTGGTATGATTTTTAAGTGACTTTTGTTCCTATCAAGGACTGAAAGATTTTACTGTTTAATTTTTCTTTTTTAGTTAAAGTAATGGTGGAAACTGAAGGACCATCACTTAAAGATCATCTGTAACGTTTTCGGTATTCATTGGAGTATATTTCCATTTAAATCAATAGTTTTCGTTTTTAATTTAAAAAATATAAATATAAAATAAGGAATCCAAAAAGTAGTTCAGATCATGAAAACAACAATCAAGAGGGATAAATATGAACATTAAAATGTAATTTTATACTTTACATCTTCATCAACTAAAATTAATTTTTGTATTCGCAAATATTGGTTTTGGCATGGTTCAGTGTTGCCTTACGGAGAACAAAATTTTGAATTTCCACTCTTTTGGGAAGGTATGAGTTCTTTGATAAAAGAAGAAATCTTCGTAGACATCTTGGAGAAAAGAAGGTATGAATTATTTAATTTCCACTCGTTCTTATAAATGGTCTCTAAAGGAATAGATACATTGTTTCGTTCAATGGTAATACCTCCTGATCAATCACACCCATACGGGAAGGGACGCACTGCTTCTCCAAGCAGACACTTCATTGAAACAATAGCATCCCGTAAAAGAGGCACGTAAAAATTATCCTTCATAGATATATAGTATAGATGAATGGTAAATTTGGTATATATTAAAAAGATGAGGGCAAAATGGGGAGGTAAAGACTCTCATCCATAGCCCCATTTTGATATAGTATAGATATTTCTTCTTCACAAATAAAGGCTGACCCCTTTATTTATAAATCCTTTCATGGGCGTTACGTGGACTTGGACTAACCAGTTAGGCTTGTGCTAACTTGAGTATTGTGCTAACTTTAGTATTGCGCTAACTTTGAGCATTGCTAAGTTGAGCCTTGGACTAACTTTAGCTTTGTGATTGGTTGACCTTGGGATTTAGGTCTGATGTTGTACTTTACTCAAGTTTGGCCCAACTTTCTTGAGTAGACTTGATAAATAGGAGTTCTTCTATTGCAATTGAATTTAAAACTCTGATGGAAAATGGTCCAAGCATCCTCCTAATTTAAGTAATCTGAGAGTGTGTGGATGAATTGCTTATGCGAATGTTAGAAAAGGTAAAATCTGATATAATAAAGCTGAGAAATTGGAGTCAAGGTATAGACTTTGATGCATTGAAATGGGTGAAGAAAAATGCATCATTAGTAGTGTAAGAACTTTTTGATATGCACAGCGGAAGCTAAGGATCATAATACACTTAATGAAGCAATTTAACTAAAATAAGTATGCGGGGAAAAATGATGAAAAAAGTAAAGAGGAAGTGATTAACTTTACACCTTTAAAGACCTTCACTATAACTTCTTTCCCTAACTCAATGGAACCACCAACGACAAATCAGTACTATCCTCAGGATGATGAACACAGTTGTGGGACCGAATTTTGAGTGAAAGCAAAGGGAAAGCACTAATGGCTAGGAGAAAACAGTAGAAATTTGAGTGAAAAAATTATGCACTTATGCAATGAAACATTAGCATTCTCCAAGTGATCTTCATCACCTATATAAAGACCAAATGCATGCAAGGACAAGCCTTGCATGCCTTCCACTTCAAACCCCACTAGCATGTAAAAGATAGGTGTCATCGCCTTGAAGAAACACTTCAAAAACCACTAGTTAGTTGAAGTTGGATTTTCCCACTAATCTTGGTTTTTAAATAAAACTTTTATAAAACTAATTTTTTATAAAAACAAAAATTCAAATATCAATTTTCTA